CAGATTACAATCAAACTCGTGGAACACCCTGACTTTTATCACATTTGTTCCCTCCAACATTTAGTGTTTCGACCCTCGGTCACCAGGATTGAATTGCCCTACATCAGATGCAACATATTTGTACTAATATTCGCTTGTTTTTACTTTTATTAGTTAAATGTCAATAAAGTGTACGATTTCTCGATTTCGACGACGGTTGCTGGTAAATCAGTAGTAAAATAACAAAGCCTCACGATAAGGGATGTGACATCCCTTTGTAGCTACATAATTTATCACTTCAGTTAGGCTAGAACATTTTCATTACTCAGCTTATTTACTGTGCACCGAATGGAAGAAATAAGCTATTTAGAATACGTGTATCGTCCAGAATACACACCCTCATGAAATAGAAATAATTTATTAGAAAGAATGAATTTCCATGCTGTTTTGCATAAAATACTTTTCAATTCTGAGCTGTAACTTTCAAACAAATTTTGCTGCCTCACTCAAGGTCGCGCGCAAATTCAGACGGTAATGATAGTCATAATTATTCGACCAGTGATTGTTCCAATGGGAGTTGATCACGATGATGATAATGGTTGAGTCATTTCGATGCTTCATGCTGTGGTGATTTGAGTGATTTGGACCAGTCGGTGTGTCAGATGTTTTCAATCCATCTAAAGCATCCATTGCCTGTTGCGATCGTCAGCCGAATATCATTGTTACTAACCAATAATTATATTTCATTGTTTCCTGTCTTAATCGTTTCATTGGTCACGCCTTGCTTCCTGAAAGTTGACCTTAAAATTATCTGCTATATGAGAAAGGATCAGATCGTTTATGGCCCAATCCCTCCGAGTTTCGGGGTTTTGAGACTCACTGTAGTAAATCACATAGTTTCGCAATTGAGCAACTGTGATGTTCATCAGGCTGGCTCAGGAAATTGTTACTAAAGATAGCAACTCAGATGCATCTTTTCATTTTGATTGGTGGTGCACTGGTTCACATGAGATTGCCTTAATTCTCTGAATTAATGAAACGCATTAAGGGTAACTATAGTGCGGAAGCGCACCTTTGGGTGGCTTCGGAAATGAAATAGGTCACCCCGAACGAGCGGTGTTCCGTGTATAGCCGCTAGGTTTGCACAGTGCTGGTCCGGCTCTACCATGATCAGATTTTTATTTTAAAATGCATGTAAGAACTACTAACAATATTCTCGCTGGGTGTCGCATTCTGTTGTGAATCGCATGTGTACGCGAATATGCGATGTGACTCCACATATCAGTGGCCAATCACGTGCTAGTTCTGATGTCAAAAATATCGTTTTGATGCAGATGTTAGGCTAGCTTTACTATAGTACTGATGCAGTTCTTCGCACATTCTTCTTTTAGCCCCTGGTTGCAGCTGATATTGATTGCTTTAATGGTATGTCCTGTTTGCCTTTCCGTAGATTTTCAAGACCCGTTGATTACATATCTTGGTAAAACGCTTAGACTTGGAAAAAATCACTCTCCATCTCCACTGGGCCATAGATAATAGGTTTTCAAACGTACTGGAAATGCATTATTTTTTCTTTGGTTTCAAACAAACCGTGGTGATAGTGGTGATGGTGATCAACATAGTGACCCAGGCGTTCTGGGTTCGAACCACTCCACCGCTACCCACCTTCCCCGTTTCTGTATTTTCCCAGACAAAGCCTATGTATGGCCGCGGCCCTCTTCCTGAAAGTTGACTGTACATTATTATATTCAATAAATAAAAAAGGAAGTAAAATCCAATTGTCCTTTGCAGAGATGAAGCCATGTGTTACATTAGGTTGAATTATTGATTGCTGTCTTTTTTATTTGTTCGAAACGCCAACTTTAATAACAAGGTTTTAAATATACACCTGCACAAATACTCTTCAGGGAAGTCATTTATGCGTATGGTATATTTTTATTCGAAATAATTTCAGTCGTCCATATTGACTACAACTTCTTAGACAAAAAATAATGCGGAAGTTGTATTTTGAGAAAGAAAGAAGAAACCTTTTCTATCATCGCGTACTCTTCACTGTGATTCTTGCCCCGCATTTATTTTCTATAACCACTAACTAACATCATTTGTCTGTTCGCTCAAGTTTGATAAGCGTTTTTTAAACGGTTGGTGGTGACAGTCGTTTAGTCGCTGTCACCGGTATGCCCTGAAACCTATGGTTCGAAGTTCGAGCCTCGCCAACACCGCCCAGCAACTTTGGTGGTAGGCTGATTTGCTGTCGTTGGGTTCAGGGCCTTATAAGGTTTGCCACTCCAAGCTCCGGAGCTCAGGTTACCCCGTTCATCATTGAACAGCGAGTAGATTTTCGTAACTATGTGAGATTCACCCAGTCTGCTTTTCATCAAGCAAAAGTGTGTCTTATAAGAAAAAAGGCAATCCACAATTAAACACACATAACGGTCAGGTAGTATTATCAACACAAAGGTGTTGCATATGCGAGAATTACAAGATTACAGATCTTGAGTTTATGTACCCGTGCTACCGTGTCAACCATATATTTTGCATATTTAAAGCTCGATGTAGTTAGTCTTGTTCCCAAAGGGTTCTAACTGTGAAGCGTTGCACAAACAACGAGGCACCAATCCTTTTTGCTCCATATGCGCCCGATCCCCTCATCTAACAATCTCTTTCCTTCCTTGATTGCTTGCTTGCTTCATTCAGCATCGCGAGTATCGTGTCGGTCCATTGAGCGAGCTGCGCCGCCGTATATGGAAGTTTTGCAGCTTGTTGGTCGTGAGCAAGCGACTGGGAACTCGTCTGTTTTTCACTTATATGCTCATCAAAATGCTCTATTTGCTCAACGGGATCGGACAACTGTTCATGATGGAACGATTTCTCGGTCTGAACCGCCGTAACTACACGTTGTTCGGGATCTCAATCGCACACGATATCCTGGTGGGGAAAGATTGGGAAGTCACTTTGGTGTTCCCCCGAGTCGGATTCTGTTTAGTGCCTGTGCGTCACATGGGTTCACGAAACTATGTGACCAGTCAGTGCGTGCTCCCGGTGAATATGCTCAACGAGCGTATCTATGTGTTCCTGTGGTTCTGGATTGTCCTGGCCTGTACTCTGACCGCGATCAGTATACCCACTTGGTTTATCCGAATGTCCTATCAGAAATCACAGACGTGTTTTATCAAAAAATATTTGAAATTAGGTGAGGTTCTCAGTCGAAAAGATCGAGCTATGGTGGAAAAATTCAAACGCCAATTCCTACGTCACGATGGAATCTTTCTGCTGCAAATGATTGCTCTCAATGCAGGTGATTTGATCTGTTCGGACATTGTGTGTCAGTTATGGAAGGTGTTCAAGGCGCGCTATTTCTATCGGGATTTGACCCGTGGTCCGGAGGAGGACAACGATTGGCTCATCGACCAAGTACAAACCGAGGAGGGCAAACTGGCCCGCGGAGGATCAATGAGCCGATTGGTTCTCAGTGCGGATGCGAAGCCGTCCGCACCGAAGCGGCGTCCACATGATGAAGAGAGTGGATTAAATGAAAAAATCAATTTTGCCTGAGGTAGAGAAATGAATATTTTTTGATATTTTCGTTTATCCACATAAAATCATTGTATATCAGAACATTGATTTCCTCAGATCAAGATGTTTAGCAAGGCGCCAAATGGCTTCAAATTTGACGGAACAGAGAGTTCAATGAAATCACCATACAACCCGGTTTTTATTACTTTAAAGCTTTTTTTCACTCCGGCGGAGTTTTGCAATCTGCTTGTATCTGCGTGTGTGTAAATACCTATTTTTGTCAATTTGACCTCTTCCATTTGATACAGCAGAATACGAGAGAGAGACACAATTCCATGTGGTTCTGATTTTGCATGCGAGAGAAAGAAACTCTCTTCGTGTATAGCAATTTGTAAAACTGTCTACGATAAATACACTTTTACCCGAATACACCACGTATGGATTTGTATGTACAGTGATGTATAAACGTTTCCATCATATGAATTTTCCCCTATGACTGATTCCGATCCTATCCTTGTTTATTGTTTTATCGAGCTTTTCCATATCCATTCATTACTTTGATATTATTATTATGGTTAATCATTAATATTTGCTGCAGTAAGGACGATTCCGTTCCTAAAAGGTAATCTCGAATAATTAATGGCACAGTCAAATTGGATGCTAGTGGTTAGGTGGCAAACCGGAAGGGATATCATTGTAGTGTATTTTATTGTAACAAAGCTTTAGCGAGTCATATAGAAGCTTTCAACCATAAACAGATCACTGTCACAATACTAGCAATAAAGGGGGAAAAGTGAGACGTCAAGCGTGAAAAAATCTAAATTAACTACTAAATGCACTAGGAAGATCAAAACGAACACTCTCCTTGTTGGTTGGTGTTCGTGCAAGATTAGGGTACCAAAGAGATTCTGTAAGCAGATATCTGATATGGACTAGTTGGATTTGTATACATACCGGTCAATCTGTCGAGGATGGGTGCAATCAGATAAAGTATTGTCAGCAAACTTCAAGCATGCATCACTATGAGCATCACAAATATTGTCAATCAGAACAGATAAGGGAACTTGGAAAGCGGTCGATCATTGAGTGGCCACGCCTCCGCAGATTGAAGTCGGCCTTCAGCAAACCAGGGAAAATCACAAGGGAGCAGTAAAGGGGTGTAGGGAAGACACACTGTTGAAACAACTTCTGTCGTCGACAAATGAGAACAGAAGTGGTGCAGTCTTTTTCGTATCTGAAAGGAGAGAACTTTCATCGTATGAACAACAGTTTGGGAATATACAGGTTATTTATGCAAAGGTTACTTCACACGACTGACCCTGCTCATCGATTTTCCCTGAATCTGTACATTATCGGAGGAAAATAGAGAACGGTTTAAAGAATAAGTTCAAAGCATTTCTGGGATTAAGATTAAGATCAGTATTTATCTGCTTACCAACCATGATGCTGGAGGGGCTTTTGTTGTTTGTTCAATAGCTGAAGAATTCGTGGCCCCAAAAAGCTCAGCAGAGTAAGGGTTCTTTCGACTATAAATTAAACGATCCTTTAGGCTAGTTTCTAAGTTTATCCCGCCTAATGAGGGTCTCTTTGAATGATAATCAATCGCTAGAAAACGATTGACGTAGTATGAGGAAGCATTGGTATAAACAGGGCACTGAGTGGATAGTTCTCTATGCATCGCACGTGTGTCAAAATTGTGACAGAACGATGTGTTAACCACCATCGAACTGAATGCGTAAGGTGAAGTATCTCGCTGGGTGCAGTTTCTTGCAGAAAGGAAAGAAAACAATAAAAAAAATTAAATTCGCAAAAGAGTCAGCAGATTGTGGTGGCAATGGATTAACCGATGCAATTGCAACTCTTGTTTTCCAAATCTAGACACCCTACTACCGTATGCTTTGTCCCCCTTAGGAGAGAAGAGGTCAACCCCCACCTCTATCCGCCTTTAATAAACATGAATGAACGAGTTGCGTATTTAGCGGAGAAGAATAATGAAAAAATGTAAAATCTGCTAATATTTGAGCAGTTCAAAGTACGGTGTAGACAAACATGGCCCCGGATCGTGTGAAACCAGTGCTGAAATCACGATGGATTTGTGTCAGCTGTCTTGCAGTTGGGAAGCGGGAATAAAACCACTTATGCAGCAAAATTTGGGAGATAAAATACTTCTCACGCATTTCTCTGCCACTTGAACACGGAGGAAAAAACGGTATATGAGAGCAGAACGATTAGATGTGCTCTTTCCGCATGACTTCTGTCATGTTGCACAGACAACAAGATGAATGACACTTGGATGCTCTTCGAAAGATGATGATCTTCACAAAGATACCAGAGCCGAATTCAGAAAACGAGCGAGGACTGTGAAATGCAACTCTGAATACATTAAACTATCGCTCGAAATGAAAATAATTTGGAATTTTTAGTAATAGTCTATTTCACATCCGAATCCGGGAAAAATCTAAGGGTGGGGGTAACTGTTTTTCGCACAGCAGAATTGCAGAATCATTGTACAGCGGAATACAGTGAAGCAAACTTCACTGATCGCTGCCAAACTCGCAATTCAGCATACAAAGTTGGTGAGAATGTCAGGTGGACAGGGAGTTGGCCCATTTCCAGGTCAACACTCAAAGTATACGATCTAACTGCACATGCACATCTTCTCAAGCATTCTGACCTGATACGAAGTAACAACAAGAACACCACTGCTATCGGTTAGTTGCCATACACTTCAGTGTCTCCAGCCAACCATAGTTACGGAGTCTTTCGGACCTCAACCTGAAAGACCGGAGACACCAACTCTGCCTAATGGCTCTGTGTAATTCTTCGTGCCTCGTCTTCACATATGCTGACCTCCACGTGGTTTTCTCCAGCCCAGAACGGCTAGAGCGAACAAGGCGCGATGCGATTGACGACAGCTGAGCAGGTGCAATTCGTGTCCTAATCAGCGAAACCTGCTAATCTGAATTTGATGTCCAACAGAAGCACAGAACTCAAAAAGAAACGGAAATAGTCGTAATTTTTGCCATCTACCAAAAATGCCATTGGACGGTGATTTATTCCTCTACAATCGGGCGACCTGAAAGTTTTCGAGAATGAGCAGCTGGTCTGTATGCGTGGAAACGAATCAAATAACACGAACCACCATTCGCCTCTAAGTGAACACTTAATATTTCTGTCCTTCGAGAAGATCTATGGGTTCGAGAAAGATCAATCGCCTGATCGATTTCAAAAACATTTGGAGGGAAAATTGTGAAGTCTAGCAGAGTTGTTTTAAACGGTAGA